TCTCCCACCCAACATCCAAAGATTCATCACCGAGCGGAAAAGGTTACGGGGAATATTAAGACGCACTGCAGATCCTGATCGCCACCCAATCCTCAAGGCCGACATAAGGAACCTAAGCATAATAATCAAGCAACTGATTATTATCCACGAGAAAGAACGCTTCAAGGGCTACTTGGAAAGCATCGAGGTGAACTCGAAAACATACGGGAAGGTCAAAAGAGCCGCTGGCCTGGCATTCCGGCAACCAATAAAGGGAATTATAGACAATAACGGTGTAATTACCTCGGATAATACACAAAAAGCTGAGATCCTGGCAGACTACATACAGGATAACCATCAATCCGAGGGAACAATAGACTATTCCCTCCGCAACATGGTCAACACAGCAGCGGAAGAAATTAGAAACCACTCGCCCTCTGTTGAATTCAGCAATGAATTCAAAGCAAATGGGTCCATCTATAACACACACCGATGGGAAGAAAATGGATTCGTTGATCCAGACATGGTCGGATCAACTATAGCAAGAAGGGCACCGAAGAAGTCTTGTGGCATCGCCCTCTGTTGAATTCAGCAATGAATTCAAAGCAAATGGGTCCATCTATAACACACACCGATGGGAAGAAAATGGATTCGTTGATCCAGACATGGTCGGATCAACTATAGCAAGAAGGGCACCGAAGAAGTCTTGTGGCATCGATAAGGTCCCTGATATTGCTGTAAAAAAGGCTGGTGAAGCCATCATTCTTTTTCTCACCATATTGTTTAACCACTGCCTCAACATTGGCTATTTCCCAATAGCCTGGAAAGAGGCTTTAGTGGTACCAATTCCTAAGCCCGGAACAGACGCAACCCTAAGGGGGAGCTACAGACCGATTTCCCTGCTATCGCCCTTTGGGAAGCTTCTTGAATACTTCCTTCTGCGCCGAATCAACAGGATCATCGAGGAGAAGAGGATATTAAAGGACTGCCAATTCGGATATAGAGCAAAGCACTCCACAACCCATGCCCTAGCAGCCTTTACAACATACGTCACGGACGGTTTCAAGACCAAAATGGGAACAATTGCAATTGGTCTGGACTTCACCAAAGCCTTTGATACGGTATGGCAACATGGCATTTTATACAAAATGCAATCGTTTGGATTCGATGGACAAACCTGTCGCATGGTAGCAAGCTTTCTCCAGGATCGAGTCTTTCGGGTCAGAGTTGATGACAAACTGTCTGAACAACGACTGGTAAAAGCAGGGGTTCCACAAGGATCACTGCTGGGACCAGTATTGTACAACTTGTTTGTCAGCGACATCCCTGGACCACCTGAAGGAGGATTACTGCTCATGTACGCCGATGACATTTTATTGGCGCTACGAGGTCGCTTCGGAAGCACTGTGGAAAGAAGATTGAATGCGTACATGAATACGCTCCACAACTACTTCAACAAATGGGGACTCAACCTCAACGTTGGAAAATGCGTATCTGTGGTTTACAAAGGGAAACCACAGTCTACGGCAAAGAGCTTCCGAAAATACATCCCTACGATCAAGGTTGGTGACCAACTAATTGAAACTTCCGATAGGATGAAATACCTGGGAATCATCCTACACGACAGATTTGACTTCTGCCGCCACGTGGACTATGTGCTGTCAAAGGCCAAAAAGATGAATTTCGCCTACCAGAGGCTATTCAGGATGCGAGGAGGACTGTCGCCGGACGTAAAACTGCTTATCTACAAGCAAGTTATCCGGCCCATAATAACCTATTCCTTTGCCGCTTGGGCTGACATATCTTCGGCCCAAATGGAAAGATTAAGGAAATGGGAAAGGAGGATCTTGGCATCGTGCTTAGGAATGAGGCCAACAATTGACGAGAATGGAATATTCAGACGACCACTCAACTGGAATATCTACAACGCCATCGAATTTAGCCGGATAGACGTCTTCATGATGAAGAATGCACTAAACTTTCTGGAGAGAAGCCAAAACGTGGAAAATGGGATAGTGGAACAATTCCTGGACTACCAAGAGGAAATCCCCAATATTCAAAGAAGGAAGCATCTGCCACCCGCAGCTCTACTAAAATTACGCGACGAAGGATTGCTCTACGATGATGAACGCCTAATGTACTACCATCGTAGGTATAACAGATTCGACGCTGACTCTGAGCCTGTCTACAACACAGCTCAGTAATAATATAATTGTAAATAGATTAGTTTAAGTTTATATAGTTTTAAGGTAGATTTAAGTTTTTATTTTATTTTATTTTTTTTTGTATTAGCCTTTTTTTAAACTTTTAAACACTTTTATTTAGTGTTAAAACACTAAAATAATTTAATGATTGCTTAGCATAAAAATGCGGCACTAATATAATCTTAATATCGTAGTCTCCTACATTGTAAGCCCTAGGGCAAAGGAGAATGTTTATTTACTAAACTATTTTATACTGTAGCCATTAAGTATATAATGTATAATCTGACAATTTAAAACAAATAAATGACAAATTTAAAAGTAAAGTAAAAAAAGTGGACCAAAAAGCCGCAAAATTGTCAGCAGATCGTAATTATCGCCCGATCCTCACGCACATTTGAATGGGGGTTACCGGACATTGCAAAAGCCAAGCAGTTTTGGATGGTCATCCAAAAATATTCAATGTGTAAAGGAGTTTGGCAACTTTTGTAGACAAAATACGAAAATGTCCATTCCAGTGACTTTTTGGACACAAATACTGGAAAGACGCACTTCTGACTATTTCGTTAACGCTGATTTCGTTGAAGAATATAGTCAAATGTCTGTATCTCATATAGATGCGTTTCAGTCAAAAACCAATAATAAATGTTAATCTTTTGCCACTTCTGAGAGATTATAGGTCTTTGGGAAATATTGGTTCCAGATCTAGGAAGACCATTTAAGTGCAACATCTACCAATAAATTGGAAATGAGCAAATTAGTTTAAGTTGCTATTATTCGAAAATTAGAGAACGCAACCTGATGGTTTTCTTTTATTATTTGTCACAATATCTTGTGGAATTCTTTCGAGTATCTTGCCTATATAAACTGTATCGTTTATTATAGTGTTGTAGGGTATTCAACGGTCGGCCCCGCTCGACTGTAGCCTTTGCTTACTTGTTAAGTCAAGATTTCGATAGTCGTAAAGGTTTTAAGATCCTTTTTCAAAGACTTCTTTAGTATCTTTCTCAAATGATCTAATGTTGTTGAGAAAATTCCTTAAAAATAACAAGGATTTTTTAAAAACATTTTTATAAGATATAGTTTTTTTTAAGAAAATTTGGTAAGGAAGATTCCCTGAGTCAAGGAACGAGGCGTTTTTTGAGAAGAGCTTTCAAAGGAGGTTGTTAAGAATATTTGCAAATATTTAGTATATTTTTCGAAAGACCTAAATTGGTTGAAATATAATTTTGTTGAAAATATTTTCCAAAAAACAAGGATTTAAAAAAAAATATATTGGTTGAAATATAATTTTGATGAGAATATTTTTCAAAAAAACAAGGATTTAAAAAAAAGCATTTTTTATAAGATATAGTTTTTTTAAGAAAATTTGAGTCAAGGAACAAGGCGTTTTTTTGAGAAAAACTTTCAAAGGAGGATGTTCTTAAGAATATTTTCAAAAGTCATGGATTTTTTTTAATGACGTAGATTTTTATGTGTACATTTTTAAAGATTTCTTTAGTATATTTTTCAAAGGATCTAAATTGGTTAAAATATATTTTCAAATACACGAAGTTTTTTTAAAAACATTTTTTTAAAGGACATGACTTTTTAAGAATATTTGTTAAGGACGTGGACTTTTTTAGGGTGGATTTTTTTAAGATTTTTTTTCTTTCACTGGAGTAGGGTTTTATGAATATTTGCCAAAAGTCATAGATTTTTAAGAATATTTTCCAGAGGTCTTACTTATTGTTGACAGTGATTTCCAATGGACTTACAGTAGAGCGATTTTTTAAGAATATTTTCAAATTTTTTCTAAGTACATTTTCGAAAAACGTGAATTTACCTATTTTTGACAGTGATTTCCAATGGACTTATAGTGGAGCGATTTTTTAAGAATATTTTCAAATTTTTAAGGGCATTGATTTTTCTAAGTACATTTTCGAACAACTTGAAGTTACCTATTCAAAATTTTAAAGACATTGATTTTTTCTAAGTTAATTTTCGAAGAAAGTGAATTTATGCGAATGTTGTTCATGATCGTGAAGGTTTTGAGAATATTGCTTATTAGACGTGTATTGTTAAAGAAATTTTTTTAAAAAATATCTATGGAAAATCAAATCCTGGGAAATCAATGTTTTTAGTTCTTTGAAGAACCACGAATTTCAAAGACTTTTTTTAGAAGAAAGGCTGATTTTTAGGAATATTTGCAAAGGACTATATCAGCTGTAGAAAATAATTTTTGACACTACTTTTTTAGTACAATATAACGACTTAAGGAGTATATTTTTCAAGAAACTATCAGAAAAAAATATATCAGTTTTCGAAAGTTTCTGTCAAAAGTTCTACAACTCATAATTCCTTACTCAATGTATTTTAGAATAGCATATTACAATGGAATATGATTGATGTATTGACCTTTAACATATTTCAAACCTTTTCCAAAATGTAGTAATTTTAAAAATATGCCAGTATCCAACCCAACCACCCCCTTTAGCATTTTAGCCATCAAGCAGAGATTACTGGCCAATGACCAAGTGTTCTGCCTAAAAATGTCAAATTGTCCAGAAGAACTGACACCTTTCATTATCATTCTATTTTCAGTTCGCAGTTAGGAGTGAATGAGTTTTTGGGCAAATAGAAATTGTCCTCAGCACACATGCACATACACACCCGCCAACCTATTATACCTAATGTCTGTTGTCTGCAGTTTTCATCCGATGACATGAACACTGCCAACATATCATCATGGACGTGTCAATTCTTTAGTGGACCAGCTAAATTACCAGGTCGAAGCTAAATCCTCAACGAACGCACAACCATGCACACATTAGAACTTACTTGACATCATGAGGCATGGGCAAGGTGGCACCACGATCCAATAGAATTTTTAGAATTTCATAGTTATTGCGATGTGCAGCCAATATAAGGGGTGTAATGTCCGGAGTAAATGTTGATTTAGCACGATCCACAGCTTCCCAACTCTGTTGAATAAAATAAAAATGCAAAGCAAAACGTAAGTACTTAAAATGTATGCGAAAAATTCTATGAGCAGTGCGGGGGCTACTTACATATGGCATACCCTCCTTGTGATGTTGTTCCTCCCATTGCAGCAATTCTTCTACGGCCTCAACATACTCTTCCGATATGGCATGCAGTAGAGCATCACCCACTTCGATACCTTCTTCAAGCAATAACATAATCAAATCATAATTTTCATTCTCAATGGCGGAAATCAGGGCCGAACGATTCATGGGATCTTTGCAGTTAATGTTGAACTGCTTGGCATTGTTCTTGTTGTCGTGAATAATTCTGAAAGGCAATTGTAAATGAGATTGTTAAAAATAAAACGTAAGCACCCAGGGAGCCCATACTTTTTTCTTCTTTTCTTTTTAAATAAAAATACATTCTATATATAAAAGAAAGTTGTGTTAGTTACTACGCTTATAACACAAGAACCGCTGGTCTGATTTTAACGATTCATACAAATTCGGAATTGTCTCTTGGCAGAAAAGTATAAAAACCCAAAGAAATCGAGTAAAAATTTGAAATTTGAACACATTCATTTTGATTTTTAAAATGTACAATCGTAATGTTTTATTTTGCATGATTTTTTTTTCATTTTGACTTACTATTTTCGAATGTACATTTGTAGTGTTTTTTATTATACCCTCCACCATTCTATGGAGGGTATATTAACTTTATCATTCCGTTTGTAACTCCTCGAAATACTCATGTCAGACCCAATAAAGTATATATATTCTTGATCAGCGTAAAATTCTAAGACGATTTAGCCATGTCCGTCTGTCTGTCTGTCTGTCTGTCTGTCTGTCTGTCCGTCTGTCTGTCCGTCTGTCTGTCCGTCTGTCTGTTGTAATCACGCTATCTTTCGAATGAATTGAGATAGATAGCTAAAATTTTGCACACATGTTTAGTTTTCCAGTAGGCAGGTTAAGTTCGTAAATGGGCCATGTAGGTCCACGTTTTCATATAGCCCCCATATAACGGTACCTCCCGATATTCGGTATTTTAAGGATTTTAGCGACATTATTCACCGGAATTGTTTCAAACTTGGTATTTAAAGTTCGAAATGGATACTACACCCTAAGACAGAAAATTGTCTGTGCAAGTCCACGTCTTCATATAGCCTCCATATAACGGTACCTCTCGATATTCGGTTTTTTAATGAATTTAGCAACATTATTCACCGGAATTGTTTCAAATTTGGTATTTGAAGTTCGAATTGGATACTTCACCCTAAGACAGAAAATTGTCTGTGCAGGTCCACGTCTTCGTATAGCCCCTATATAACGTTACCCCCTATATTCGGTATTTTGATGATTTTAGCGACATTATTCACCGGAATTGGTATTTGAAGTTCGAATAGAATACTACACTCTAAGACAGAAAATTGTCTATGCTGGTTCAGGTCTTCGTATAGGGCCCATATATCAGTACATCCCTACATTCGGTATTTTGACAATTTTAGGTGCAATACCCACCGAAATTGTTTGAGATGTGGTATTTGAAGTTCGTAATGGATGCTACAGCCTGTGACAGAAAATTGTCTATGCAGGTCCAGGTCTTCCCACAGCTTCGATATAACGGTACCTCCCTATATACGATATTTTGATGATTTTAGCAACATTATTCACCGTTTATTTTAAGTTACGAATTTGAATATGGTAATAGCTTATGACAAACAATGCCTATGTAGGCCTACATCGTATACATCTCAATATAATGCCTATATTTGGTATTTTTAAAATTTTAACAGAATGTTTAATGATTTTATTTTCTGAAAATTTCCAAATTCGTTCCGAATGGTGGAGGGTATTCAAAGTTCGGCCCGGCCGAACTTACTACTTTTTGACTTGTTTTTGAATTCTAATATGAAGTGTAGTCATTTTTGGGTATTATAAAGCGACAACGAACAAAACTCTTATTTATAGATATTATGTATTTATTGAGTAAGCGGAACTCTACGATGAGAACTCTTCAGAAGAGAATAAGCTATGAACAAAAAAATCAATTTTTTATCGTGTACAAACGGTTTTTTTCAATTTGATTAACTTAATTTAATTGACTCGTTTTCTTAAGAACTGAAATTACAGGCGGGTTACATTGAAGTGTAGCACAGAATTATGTGGTGGCGAAACTGAATATATGATGTCGGAATCATTTAAAGCGGTCGCACCAAAGTTAACGGATAATTACTTTTTTAAAATTACGAAAAAAGAGACTATTTAATGGCAAAAATTCTGTAATCGGGAAAAATCGAGAACAATTTTTCAATGGTATCGAATTTTAAAATAATAGTACATTCTATTGACAAACTTCGTAAGGACCTTTAACCATTTGCTGTAAAATATCAGCGAACAAGGTGAAGATTTTTTTCTTTTTTCAATTTTTTTCTTTTTTGTAAATTTTATATAATGTAAGATTTTTGTTCAATTTGGGTTATCATATCTTGGCAAAAATCGAGTGAAAATATGCCAATTTGACATACTATATTAAAATTTACATTATTTATTGTTTTGAATTCTAAATAAATAATATCAAAATTGAAATGAGTACGCAATACGATACCAGAACCTACATCGGTCTTCAGGTGGAAGACGTGACCACATTTAAATAAAAATGACCGACAAATAGTTATAGGGCTCATTTCCGTCCAATGAGACCTCAATATGCAAAATTCATTGGGACTCCAATCAGTGAAATACCGAATATAAAGGGCGCAAATGAGTAGAGCTAATTTGACATTTAGTAAGAAAAGGATTTTTATCCTTCCAGAAATTCTTCCTAAACTTTCAAGATACCTTAAATAGCTATTGCGGGTCACGAAGTGGGTACAACCCGATTTCAAATTTATTTTATATTTTCACCATATTTTTCATACTAATTCCGGAAATGTTGGTGATTTGCGAAGAAACCATCCTTGCAAAAGATTATCACATTTTGATATAACCATCATATGATTTAAGCTATTTTCTAGTTTTTGGACATTTCTTTTTCATTTTTGTGGCCTTTATTTGGCATCTTAGTTTCTAAGGGGGTAGACAACCTCTTCGCATAAAATTTTCAATTCTGCGGAATAGGACCCATACCCTGGTGTAGAGAACCATCTTACAGATAATTGTCCACATAGGCATTTATTTAAGTACTAGCTGGCCCGGTAAGCGTTGCCGGCCCGTAGTTTTAGTCTTCAAAGCATATTTTTTAAAGCACAGATCTGACTTATGTAACCGTCACAATTTTTGTTATAGTATGGAGGGTATATCAAGTTGGTCATTCCATTTGTGACACCTCGAAATACCTCAAATGTATATTATATCTGCAGGACTTTTGAAAATGGACCAATGTTGGTCCTGGTTTTGGTACAGCCCCCATAAAATGGTATCTCCCTATTTACGGTATTTTTATGATTTAGGCGACATTATTCGCCGAAAAAAAAAATATTTGGAATTTGAAGTAAAAAGGTTATCAAATTGAAAATACCGTTCGTAAAATATTGATTTTTTTTGTTCATAGCTTATTATTTTCTGAAAAGGTATTTTCGCATAGTTCCACTTATCCAATAAATACATACAATCTATAATAACAATTTAATCCGTTGTCGCTTTATACTACCCAGAAAGACTACACATCATATTAGAATTAAAAAAACACATCATATTAGAATTCAATAAAACATGTAAAAAAGCTGTTCGGCCGGGACGAACTTTCAATACCGTCCATCATTTGGAACGAATTTGGCAAATCTCAAAAACAATAAAATACGTTTAAAATTCTGTTAACATCTGAAAAATACCGAATGTAGCTGTTATATTAGGGTCTATACGATGACATGGACCTGAATAGGTAACATTTATCATAATCCACTACAATATTCTAATGCGAAACTTAAAAAAAATCTTTAATAATGTAGCTAAAATCATCAAAAGACCGAATATCGGGAGGTACCGTTATATGGGGACTATACGAAGACGTGGACCTGCACAGACAATTTTCTGTCTAAGGCTGTAGTATATATTACGAACTTCAAATACCAAATTTGAAACAATTCAGGTGAATAATGTCGCTAAAATCACGCAAAATACCTAATATCGGGAGGTACCGTTTTATGGGGGCTATACGAAGACATGGAGCTGCAAAGACAATCTCCTGTAATAGGCTGTAGCATCCATTACGGCTGTAGTATCTATTACGAACTTCAAATACCAATTTTGGAACAATTCCGGTAAATAATGTCGCTAAAATTATTAAAATACCGAATATCGGGAGATACCGTTATATGGGGGCTCTACCAAGACGTGGACCTGCACAGACAATTTTCTATCTAATACTGTAGTATCTATAACGAACTTCAAATACCAAATTTGACACAATTCCGATGAATAATGTCGCTAAAATCACCCAAAATACCTAATATCGGGAGGTACCGTTATATGGGGGCTATACGAAGACATGGAGCTGCACAGACAATCTCCTGTCATAGGCTGTAGCATCAATTACTGCTGTAGTATCTATTACGAACTTCAAATACCAATTTTGGAACAATTCCGGTAAATAATGTCGCTAAAATTATTAAAATACCGAATATCGGGAGGTACCGTTATATGGGGGCTCTACCAAGACGTGGACCTGCACAGACAATTTTCTGTCTAAGGCTGTAGTATATATTACGAACTTCAAATACCAAATTTGACACAATTCCGATGAATAATGTCGCTAAAATCACCCAAAATACCTAATATCGGGAGGTACCGTTATATGGGGGCTATACGAAGACATGGAGCTGCACAGACAATCTCCTGTCATAGGCTGTAGCATCAATTACTGCTGTAGTATCTATTACGAACTTCAAATACCAATTTTGGAACAATTCCGGTAAATAATGTCGCTAAAATTATTAAAATACCGAATATCGGGAGGTACCGTTATATGGGGGCTCTACCAAGACGTGGACCTGCACAGACAATTTTCTGTCTAAGGCTGTAGTATATATTACGAACTTCAAATACCAAATTTGACACAATTCCGATGAATAATGTCGCTAAAATCACCCAAAATACCTAATATCGGGAGGTACCGTTATATGGGGGCTATACGAAGACATGGAGCTGCACAGACAATCTCCTGTCATAGGCTGTAGCATCAATTACTGCTGTAGTATCTATTACGAACTTCAAATACCAATTTTGGAACAATTCCGGTAAATAATGTCGCTAAAATTATTAAAATACCGAATATCGGGAGGTACCGTTATATGGGGGCTCTACCAAGACGTGGACCTGCACAGACAATTT